CTGTGCCAGGCGAGTGGTTGGGGCTGCTCAGAGCTCAGTCCCGGTATGGGTGCAACATGTTGGGTGCTGCCAGGGGAGGGCAACCAGCTATAATTAAAGCAGCAATAGTGCTGTGACCAAGGCAGAGGGTGGCACCGTGGGGGTTCCGTGTCCTGGCTGCCCCTGCCTGAACAACACTGAAACCCACAGAGAGCCCCCTGTTCCCCTGCACTGGCAGAAATTAGGGCTAAACTCAGTAGCATTGTGCATGGCATGGTTTAAGTGGCTCTGCTTGAGGGACTGTTGGTGCTGCATCTGTCCCACTGCCTGTGGCTGCAACTCGCTAGTGCAGCAGGTCGTCATGGCAACTGATGGTTCCTATGACTGTACACCTGTGTTCACCTCCTGGGCCCAGCCTGGCCTTGGAAATTCCCGTTAGAAAGCTTACCTGTGGAACTGCACGAGCACCAGGGAGCGGCAACAGCACCGGGAGCTCCAGGGTGCAGGCAGAGTCAGCGGCTGGTGTGTGCCCCAGGCACCCCTGTGCAGCTGCACTCAAGGTGGTGCTGGCACCCGGTGACACCAGCGCTGCCACCTGCATGTCATGCGGCCCTCGCAGTGCAGGCAGAGCAGCCACCCTGTGCCTGGAGCTGATGAGCCACAGGGGCGCTGGCCGGGGCGCAAGGCTCCTCCAAACTCAGCACCTCGTACCCCATTGCAGCAGCAGCAAAACCATCCACTGTGCCTCTATGGACTGGACTTCACACATCCGCACTGCTACACCCATCTACACTGAACTAGCGCTGCCTCTCCCTCTCTGGCCACCGTTGCACATGGTCCTTTGGTAGGTCAGTGAATCGCTCCCCAGCTCCCCCTTGCTACAGGGTGCCCCTCAGATAGAGCAGGTTTCCTGTGCCCCAGGAACCGGCTAGAAGTTACTGCCTGCCAAGACAGGCAACGGATACCTCCTGCCAACATCAGCCCATCCACTGTGCACCCTTCTCCTAGAACCCCTGGGTGCAGTTTCCTTGGCAGGATTTCCCTTTTCAAAAGCACTCGCCCTCTCCCCAGCAGGTCAGTGTCACATGTGTACCTGCAGGTTTGGGTTTCTGTGGACCCCCCAGCTGCAGCGGGGCTGGCAGCCAGGCTCACCCCCATCCTCAGAGCTCCTCCTCACCCGTGGGTGCTGTGCTTCCTCCAGGAAGCTTCTGGGGCACACTCAGCCTCCACACAGAGACTGAGAGTAGAGAGGCTGCACTGTGCAGCAACAGCACCCAGGCTACTGCCATCACTGAGCCAAATTCATTCATGTTTACCATAACACGCACAGGCAGAGAGTTTGTTTTGGGTTTGGGTTTTTTCTGGTGCTTTAAGAGGGGAAAAAACATTTCTCCCTCTCTCTCTAAACACTGTAGATCTATGCTGGGAAGCCGCATGGACGGGGAAGGGCATGGAGAAATGGAAATTGCATTTCTGACAACTTGTTTCTGTTATTTTTACCTTTCGGGACAGGGAGAAGCACGGCGCAGCGGCCTGGGTCCATGTGATCAATAGCTCCCCTGAGAGCTAGGCGCAGCGTGCCCTGGGGCCGGCCCCGGGCCACAGCACACACAGGGCAGCACAGGGGCGCGCAGCACAGAGAGGGGTATGCAAGGGCAGCGTGAGCCTCGTGTGAGGCCCAGCCGTGGCCAAGGAGGCACCCTCACCCGCAGGGGTTCCCTGGTGCATGAGGTCACAAGGCTGTGATTCTGGGCATTGTCTCCAGACCACACCCAGGCCGGGATGCAGGCAGGGTGGTGCCTGGCCCTGCGGGCACAGAGCGCGGCAGCATGGAACGGGAGGGCTGCGGTGAGGACACGGGGGTTATAAAAATTTAGCATAGCCAGGGGTTTTGGTCCAAATTTAATTTATTTACAATTTATTGAGAGGCAATAAGCAAGCAGCGCTGGGTGCGCAGGGGAGCCTTCACTCCACCAGCAACGCACGCCGTCTCTTTTGGGTTTTACTCTTTTATACATTATCACATCTGGTATCTGTGCTCTTTACATCCTGCATACGTATCCTGTTAGGGGATTGTCTGAGTCTATGGTATCCTGTTGTTAGGGTCCTTGTTCTGTTTTCTTGCTTATTCTGCTTTCTTGAAGATTGCTGAATCGTGAGTTCTTCATTCTTCTTCCTTATCTCGTGACCTTTGAGTGACAAATCATCCCTTTGCAAAGAGCTCAATTTGTATAAGCATTGTTGGCACTACCGGACATCTGTTATTTGCTTAAGACTTAGTTCCTATATGTTGTGATTACAATCTTGCATAAGCATATATTGGGCGGTTACAGCTGTTTCCCTTTAGGCAATATTCTAAAGTTTACAAAGTGTTCAGAATTTTACAATATAATTCTTACGGCCCTTAACTAATGTAAAAAAATGATTATTACATTATTTCTTCTTTCTTCTTATACCAAGTGCAATGGGTACAAGGGTTTCTGAGCTGCTGGCACGAATCATAATTGTATCCCTTACACGGGCAGCGGTGGGGCCGTGCTGCCATGGAGGGGGCGCTGGGCCCCTGCGCAGCTCTGCTCTGCCACTGCAGGAGCCCCAGCCTTGGCGTCTCCCGACAACACCGGGTGCTCTGGCGGTGGGAGGTTGAAGAGCCAATGCCACAGGGTGGTGGGGCTGCCCCAGACAAGCTGGGCAACACATCATAGAATCTCCCTGGGACCCAGGGTTGTTGGAGCAGCAGGAAGGGCCTGAACCATGTTGTGTCCTTCCCGCAGTGAGAGAGGGGCCAAAAGGGGGCACATCCAAGGAGGTTCCTGCACCTCTGGGCCAGCCTGAGAGTGCCTGTGGAAGGCTGCCGACACCGGAGAGGGCAACATCAGACCCGAGCAGCTCCATCCACCAGCTTCAGCAGGAGACCCAGGTGAGCGGTGCCAACCCCACTCCCACTCCAGGTGCTGGTTGTGGATGCCCAGGCTGGTGGCCGGTGGTACAGGAGGCCCTGGCCAGCCCTCACGCCTGCCAGCAGACAGCTCCTCCCCAGGGCTCGGGGCTGTCCACTCCTGCTGCAATTGCACTGGTCCCACTGCCACGATTTCCCACAGCAGCCATAGCTCCTGCTGGCATCACTGCAGTGCCAGCAGGGTCAGGGGTTGGCGTCATGAGCCCTGGAGGACTTTAGAACACACACAGGGTGGTACTGCCTGGTGGGGGGGGGTCTACACCCACCAGTTACCAACATACCCCAGTGCTGCTCTGTGGGCTGCCAGCAGCCTCATCCAGCCCCCGTGCGTGGCAGGAGCTGGAGGAGGGTCTGGCTGCAGCAGTGAGCGAGAGCAGTGCTGCTTGTGCTGTGTCCTAGGGCCGAAGGCAAGCGGTGGTGCCAGAGGCACAGCAAGGGCAGCCCCAGGCGTGCCGGGACACACTGGAGCTGGAGCCAGCGTCCATACAGGCACTGCAGCTGGACCTAGACTTCTGCAGAGACATTAATCATGAGCTGCTGGTGCAGCTGCGGCACCAGGAGAGGAGAGCGGAGCGGCAGCGGCAGGAGTTGGTCTTTCTGAGGCAGCAGTTCCAGGTGGTGATGGGCAAGGTACGGCTGAAGGGTGGCACAGGCCAGGCTGAAGGAGTCCCCAACCCTTGGCCATGTGCTTACATCTTGGGCAAGGCACCATGCCTGCCCAGCAGCCTGCATGTGGGTACTGCTGGTGATCAGTGCTCAGGGACAGGCAGGATATATCCTGCCAGCCACATGTGGGATGAGTTAGCACCTCACCCTGTATGCATGGGTAGACATGGGGCAGGCATGGCTGGCATGGCCCAGTAAACCCAGCTGAGCAGAGCTGAAAGACTGCAGCTCCTAAGGGCCCCACTGACACTCTGGGCACCATCCCAGTGCTGGGCAGCCCCAGGTCAGTGATGCACCTCTCCCCAGGAACGGAAGGATGAGGCAGTGCAGACAGAGGTCACCTTTGATGTGGCTGCCCCTGGCCATGCGGACACCAGCTACAACATCCTGGAGAAGCACACACTGGTGCTGGAACAGGTCAGTGCTGGCAGACAGGGCCAGACAGGGCCAGCACACAGCATACAGCAGTGCTGCTCACATAGGCAATGGTAGATGCAGAGATGAGGTGCTGCAGGCAGAAGAGAGCAGCCAAGAAGTGCTGGTACCGACGCAGAACACAGCTGGGGAGGGCAGCTGAGTCAGGCAGTGCTGAGGAAGGTGGGGTGAGCAAGCAGGGGGCATCCAAGGCCTCTGGGCTGGAACATGTGAAGGCTGGAGCCTGCAGCCAGCACCCTGAGCTGCCACAGTCTTGGTGGCCCCAGCCAGAGCTGCAGCCCAGTGCTGCCCCAGTGGCAGAGAGCAGCAGCAAGGAGACATCTGGCACCCATAAAGGCCATTGTACGTGTGGCTGGAGGATGAGGCGCAAAAGGACCCCAGGAGGCAGCAGGCAGTGCCTGCCATCAGTTACTGCATGTTCACACACTGCAACACTCTGTCCATCCTGGTGTAACAATGGGGAATGGCAAGACCGTGCGGTCACCAGAAGCTCCCTGTGCTTTTGGGTCATCCCCAGTTGCAGAGTTAAGGGGCAGACAGGGTTTGCCTGTGCAGTCCTGGGAAGGAGGATGGGCAGGCCCTGAGCCTGGGGGGAAGCAGCCAGGGGGGCACAGGAGCCACGAACGCCTCAGAACCACAGTGTCTCATCCCTGGGACAGGGGGAGGCAGTGCCAGGCACGCTGTCTCAAGCAGCTGAATTAGGCACTGCCAGCCTGGACTCCCCGCAGCGCACAGGGGAGCAGCCGTGCCTGGGGAAGGACCCACAGCAGGATGAAGGCTGCAAGGTTTCAGCTGTTCTGCGAGCACTGCAGGAGGAAGCAGGCAGGAGCAGAGCAGAGCAGGCTCAGAGCAGGTGAGCCACACACAGCCGGAGCCCAGCAGGGCTCTCCCTGTGCCTGCTCCATCACGAGCAGGCAGCCGGGCACCGCAGCAGCTCAGGCTGTGACCGTGCCCACAGGGAGCTGACAGAGCAGCTCAAGGCAGAGCTGAGCCAGTGGCAGCAGAAGCATCAGGTGGCCATGGAGCAGGCACTGCAACACATGCACGCTGCGGCCCATGCTGAAGAGGAGCTGCAGAGGAGCCAGAAACAGCTCCAAACCCTGAGGGAGCAGGTAGGTAGCAGGCAGGACCTGCTGTGGGGTCCCTCCATCAGCCTGGCCCCAGTCTCCTCTGCCCCTGTGGGTAACCTAGGGCCCGCCAAGTAGGCTGCCACGCCGTGAGAGCTGCAAGGGGAGCTGACAGCTGTGCTGTCAGTAGGATGGGAAAGAAAAGCTGTAGCAAGAGCTGCTGCAGGCAAAGGAGTGAACGAGCACCCTCAAGAGAGTTAATAAAGCCCTGCACCAAAGCCTATGCTGCAGGAGTTGACAGCGAGCTGGGATCAGCAGCAGGAGAGAGGGCACAGACCTCACTCGAGCACAGCAATGCTGCATTCCCTGATGCGTTGCCTTCTCTCAGCTGAGGACACAGGAGGAGCAGAGCCAGGACCTGCAGCATCACCTGGCTCAGCTGCAGGAAGAGCTGAGAGCCACCCAGGCCCTGCATCAGCAAAATCTGCAGCAGCTGAGTGAAGCCAAGGAGACCATCCAGGTCCTGCACCAAGAAGTGGCCTCCAACAAAAAGCACATGGCAGAGCTGCTGCAGCAGGTGACGGCAGGGACAGGGCAGTGGTAGGGCAGCCGTTGGTGCAGGGCTCACTCTGGCCCTGGGCAGCACTGGCCCTGGGTAGCCCAGCCTGCCATGGCCTGGCCAGCACCCTCTCTTTCCCCTGACTCTGCACACAGGTGAGGGAGACGACCACCCTGCAGGCAGAGCTGGCCCAGGCCCAGCAAGAGGAAGCCAAGCAAGAGGAGAAGATTGCGGCCTATGTGAAGCAGAAGCAGCAGCTCCACTGGGAGCTGAGGAAGCTGCAGCGGTCCCAGGAGCAGTGTCAGAAAGAGGTAAACATGTCCTGGGCCTTCCCACAGGGCACCAGGAGTCTATGCTCAGCCTGTGCCCCTCTCACTGCTTCTCTGTGCCACCAACAGGCCCATTCCCTCCAGGAGACAGTACGTGAGCTGAGGAGCCACGTCCGGTACTGGCAAGAGCGATACAAGAACAGTGCCCAAGCTCTGGATACGCGAGAAGGAGAACTGGTTGTTTGCAAGGTGGAGCTGGCTTTCCTCAAGGAACAGCTCAGCAAGGCCATGGAGCAGGTACAGGTTAGAAAGAGGTTAGAAAGAGCTGACCCTTAATAACCTAAGGTTAGGCCTTGCAGCCTGGGTAACTTGAGTACAAGCCTCAGAGTTCGGCTAAGACCAGACGGCTGGGATTGCTTCTCATGTCCCTCGTTCAGCTGTATTCTTCACAACCGCCATCTCCTAGGGCTGAAACGTCTGGGTTGGTCACAAAGTGTCCGCCGTCTCTCAGCCAATCCACAGAGGCAGCACCACAGCCCAAGAGCAGGAGCACAGGATGGGCCCCTAGTACCAGGGAATGACAAACAGATCCTGGTCCACAGGCAGCGGAGAGGTGGAAAGGGAAGGACAGGGGACAGCATTCTGCAGCTCCCAGGCTGCCAAGGGAGGAAGCCGAGGGTCTGAAAGCAGCAAAGCCCACCACCTTCTCCTTATAGTAGCCCTCCTCACTCAGCTGCTGGAAGGAAGCACCTCAGCATTGAGCTGCCATGTTAGAAGAGCAGTTCAGGGCAGTAGTTCTGAGGTTAACAGTGGTGCTCCAAAGCAGGTCTCCTGAGGCACCACCCTCTCAACCCTCTGCTCAGCCCAGGCCACTGGTCCAGCACAGCCTGGGTTCTCCAACTGCCTTCAGCCCTTAGCTCATGGAGGCTGGGAAGTGCAGTCGCAGCCACTGCGACTACACATGGCACTGTGGTCACTCTTGCCAGGTGAAAACCCTGCGCTCTGCCCGAGCTCCGGCATGCTCCAACGGTGGCAGACTGCACAAGGAAACGGAGCTGTTGCTGGTCAACATCAGCCAGTGTGTGAAGGAGCCAACGTGAGTGAGAAGCCTTACTAAAGCACAGGGGCAGGTGGCTGCCGCCTTCTCACACCGAGTCACCCAGCTCGTACCTTGTTTTCAGGCATTCAAATGAGAAACCAGGGAACAAGATCCAGACTGCAGAGCTGCCAGGTGGAAAGAAGTAAGTTCTGAACACAGGAGTGAAGCTGAGCTGTCCCAAACAGCAGTTACTGCTGCTGGCAGGAATATATGGGACAGATGGACAACTGCTGGACTAGCCAAGCTCCTGAAATGCCGGCAGATCAGGGTTGTCTCTGCATCATTGCATCCCCTCATTTCCTCTCCCTTTCCTCCAGGCATGTTCAAGACACACTGCAGGAAGAAGACACATAGCTCGTGGCTGGAACAGATGAGCAGCAGCACCAGTGTGAGCAGCTGAAGGTGAGAATTCCTGGCACAGCCTGGCTTGAAACAGGGCTGGCCCTGTGGGCAGTTGAGCAGAGGCTGTGGGAGAACTGCCTTTGCCCTCTAGGTCAGTGTAACGCTGTGCCTTGTCCCGTGTCCTACAGGGCAACAACTTCACATTACCAGCCCCACACAATTCTGCAGGACTGTCTCCACCCCCCTCTTGCCCAAGGGACAGGAACAGCGCAAAACAAAGCAAGGATTAGACAACTTTTAAACAAAATAAAGTCTTTTCTGTTCTGTAGCAAAATCAGTGCCAAGCACCATATCTTTTCTGGGCCACAAGCTGTAGAGTGCCTCAGAGAGTACAGTGATCAGAGAGGCTGGCCACACTCCTAAGACTCAGCTCCTCCTGAAAGTCTTTAAGCTTCAAAGCAACGGGCACTGCTGCCTTAGAGGCCAAAGCGTGCTGGAGTGTGTCCTGGTGTCAGGGGCTCGCCCCGCTCCTTCCGCCCAGGGGTGTAGATTTTAGTAGCTCTGCCAGGAGAGAACAAGGGTGATTAGTGGAATACGTAACCTTTCCCTGCACCACAGCACCCATGAGAAAGTTGGCGTGCTCCATGCAGCTCACTACTCCTGCTCCTCAGCAGGCATTCCACGGCCAGGCAGGGCCAGCACCTACCTGGCACTGCCCAGAGGGTTGCGGCGCTCCTGCTCCTCCCGGCGGGCACGCAGCTGCTCCTCGGCCAGCGCCATCTCCTCCATGGCAGACACTTCCTCCTTGGCACGGCGGCGGTTCTCCTGGAGCAGGGCAGGGGAGGTCAGGGAAAGGCAGAGCTGGCCAGCAGCAGACTCTCTGCAGGCCCACAGGCCTGCTCCCTCCGTGTCAAAGAGCACACACCCTGCTGTAGAGCAGCTATGCAGTGGGCCTGCTGTCTGCCAGCTCATCCTGCACAGGAAACTCACCTGACGTGACTTGCCAGCATGCTTGATACTGTAGAACATGGGGCCCAGCTCTGCCAGCCACTCTCCATCCACAGCAGTGACACACTGCGTGTATTCCTGCAGGGACAGAGGAAAGGCCAGAGTAGCAGGATGGCACTTGTGCAGCCTGGGCACCATTTCCAGAGCCGTGGCAGCTCCCCCCCCGCCTCCCACTTGCTGATGGCACTTCTCATGCTGGGGCTACACCCCTTCCAGATCATTCCTGCCAGCCTCAGAAGCTGCTATGGGCTGGACTTGGTGAGACTGCAAAGAAGTTCAAACATGTCCCACATAGGTGTCCTGGGTTTAGCAGTAGCAGTCATTTTTCTCCTTCTTGGTAGCTGGTGCAGTGCTGTGTTTTGACTTTCAGCTGGGAAGAGAGCTGATAAAAATGATGTTTTGGTTTGGCCAAGGACTTTGTGAGCCTCATGCTGTGCCAGGGAGGAGGGGAAGCCGGGAGGAAGCAGAGGCAGGACACCTGAGCCAAATGAGCCAAAGAGGTCTTCCATACCACAGCACGTCATGCCCTGGATGTAACTGGGGAGTTACCCGGAAGGGCAGGTGGACTGCAGGGTTGGAGGAGGTATCGGTCGGTGCTTGGTCGGGCTGGGGGGAGCAAGTTATCGGTCGCCTGGTGATGGGGTGTTGTATTCTCTTCCCTTGTTATTTCCTTTATCATTATTATTATTGGTGGCAGCAGTAGTGATTTGTGTTATACCTTAGTTACTAAACTGTTCTTATCTCAACCCGTGGGAGTTGCATTCTTTCGGATTCTCCTCTCCGTCCCTCCAGGAGTAGGGGGAGGGCAAGAAGGGGAGGGGGAGTGAGTGAAAGCTGTCTGGGTGGGGTTAAACCCCGACAGTTCTTTTTTTGGCGCCCAACGTGGGGCTCAAAGGGGTTGAGATAACGACAGATCTGACCGGATTAATAGTCACTCGTCACAATGCTGATTTATTGGCTCTCAGAGTTGTTCCTCTTGATCTCACAGCTTCAGAATGTTGTAACTTACTTAGAGCCGGTATTTGCTGTGTTAGTGTTTATCAAGTGTGGGGCTTGGGCTAAGGTTCCTGTCTCACTGTACTTTATGGCAATGGCTTGTAATACGGGTGGGCTCCAGCAGCAGGGCGGGACGGACGTGGCCGTGGACTGGTCCCTGGCCGTCCGGCTGCTCCTCACCGTCCTGGCCCTCGCTCTCGCCTCCGTCTGCGTGAGGCTGCGGGGAGCCCAGGGAGAGCGGGCCCGGGAGCCGGTGGCTGCTGAAGCGGCCCGGGAGAGCGGCCCCGGGGACCAAGCAGGAGCGGGACCGGAGGCTGCAAGGGGACGGCTGCCGGTGGAGGAGGTCGGGGCGGTCGAGGAGCGGGAGGAGGCAGCGGAGGAGCCGAGCCCCGCGGCCGAGCCCAGCCCCGCGACGGCCGAGAACTTTCCCCGGAAGCCGCCCGCCGAGCCCCAGGAGGACGCAGGAGACCCCGCAGCATTTCCCAGCAAGGCAGAGGAGGAAGAGCTGGACTCAGGAAAAGAGAAGCTGGTGGTGGGAGAGCCAGGAAGCACGGCAGCTACACCAGCCCCAGTGACAAGTACAGCAGCATCGCTTGAGAGTGACCCGCTTGAGAGTGTCCACTTTTACTCCATACTACCTAATGAAAGAACACTAGTATAATCGATGGCTATTAAACAAGCATTAGTAAGACATTCTTTCAGGTAAACATAATTTGGAAAGCTACTTAAAGGAATCTCACTCTGCCTCCCAACAGAGATATTACAGCATTGTCTGAGAGAATTAGTGCTCTTAGCAGCAACAACATATGGCAAGACAAATTACAATTTTAGTAACTATGGGATTGATCCATGATTAAGTCAAAACAACATGAAAAACACAAGAGTGAGAGCTGGACCTGATTCATGCTACTTTCCAAGGAGAAGAGTCAAGTCACAAATACCAGGGAACAAAGCATATACAGACTTTCTTACCATTGTGTTCAGGATTATGTTGGCATCTTCTGGCACCTGGGGATTAATTGCAACAACCAGATCCTCATAGCCATTCTCATTTAGCCATACTGTAGAACCTTTTATCAGCTGCAAGAGCTGAAAAGATAGCAAAAATATCAGACTCTGAGTCACCCCCATTACTTGTCTCTGACTGGGAGATTCTTGGATAGAAAAGTGATGGCTTTATCAGTCTTATTTATATGACTGCCTGTAACACAAGAAGACTTTGTTATGATAACCCAGAATAGTTCACCTCCCCCATCCGAGTATGTAGAGTCCCAAGCACATCTTATCTTCTTGTTACAGCAGCTAGGATAGTTTGGTTCTTCCCATCTGACTACATGGAGTCCCAAGCGTGTCTTATCTTGGTGTCACAGGTCATTCGCTTCCCCCCATTGCATGGCCACCAGCGTGACAGCCAGCTGTGGATCTCAGCAGTCAGACAACAGGACCTGCATTACATCAGTGATTTTGCTAATGAGCCAAACAGCACACCTCATATGTATGATAGGTTAACCAGCACAAGTTTCACTTTCCCTTAAACTTCACTCCTGAGCAGCTCCCCCCTTTGACCAGTCAGTGTCCGGGGGCTCCCACCATGGTAACACTACACTTTCCATAAAGTCAAAGCTTTCACTCCCTGGTGGATGCACACCACCTCTTCACTCCCAACACTGCCTTTGTGTTGAAAAGAGGTGCAATAGTCTACAACAAGACACTGGTGTTCTATGCAAGTACACTTGTATCAGATATGTTGGCGGCATTTAGTTACTTGTTAATTTTAGGAAGAAATAGTTCATATTTTACTGTGAACTAAAAAAACCCAATTCAGTTTTCTTATGCCTCTTCAGCTTATCTATGCTCTGCTATTTATTGTATAAGAGAAATAATTGCAAAAGCACACTTGGAACTTCCTGGGAAAAAAATCTGAACAATGCATTATGTAGTGCGGAATTGAAACAATAGAAAAAAACCCAAACCAGATTAGATCAGTGAGACAGTAAAATGCCAATAAATTCTGTATTTGCGATTGAAAGTCTCACATTTTAAATGTCATCATTTGCCTTTAGATGAATAACCAGATTACTCTGTGTGACTCTCCTATGTCTTGTCATCTTTCACTTCATACTTGAAGAAACTTGTCCAAAAGCGACTTTATATTTACTCCAATTCCTTGTTAAAGTATTTCATAGCATCACCCCACACCCTGATTCACAATCAGTTGAGGAATGTCTAGTAGATGATGATTCCCTATCAGATACTTCTTGAGATCTCTCAGCTAGGTAGTTCCTGATTTCTATAGGAGGTGCTTGGTTAATCCCACATAGCAGTGTATTTGGAATTGGGCTATCACACAGTAACCAGTTCACAAATATTTTATGATAGAGTTGTATTGTTATTTAAATTCATAATTCCATTAAAATAATAAAAATGGAACGAATGTGCTAGTGATTAACACTGGTTGTATTTTCATCCTTTAATTCCTTATTGATGAAATTTTGTATAAATAATTTCCTGAGGCAGTCCATGATAAAATGACATTATCAGATTTTGTTATGTCATCAAGATTAATAATTTTCCATGGTGGATGGAAACACATCAGCTTCAGGTCCCAATAGTACTGCAGATATTATGAAGGAGCCTTCTGCAGCTGTTCTATGGAAAGCTCCTCTTCTGATACGAATACAATTTTTAATAACTGAGGGTCTTGATGGGTTCATCTCGATTTTACCTAAAGCAGTAAAAAACGCAGATTAATCCTGACTATAAGCACACTCTTGTAGTATGCAGGCGACCTGAACTACACCTCATTTATATGGCTTTATATTTGAAAAATCGATTAACTTAAATGAAGTGCAATCATTTCTACTGCAATAGCTATTTCTGTAGAGTTTCAAAAGTGCCAATTACTAAGAAAGCCAATATTAAACTGAAGTAACTGTTACTTGTTATAAAATAATTACAGGAGTGTTTAATTTACTAAAGCATTCACAGTTTTTAATTTAAGATGACTGATTATAGTACTTCAGTTAACAAACCTACAGTTATTCTTTTCACAGGCAAAACACAAATCCCATCTATCTGTATTACATAGGCACTGCTCTATTACAGAGTTCACAGTCTACTTTAAATATTCTTCTGGAGAATACTGAGTTTTCAGGTTTTGAAAAGCATTCAAAAGTAAACAGCTCTTAGTTGGGCTGTTGTTGCTCTAATGCTACTGCTAGTATTTATAAAGGGACTTGATGGAATACATAACTGTATAATTTTCTCTGCATTACTTCGCAGTTCTGTTTTCTACACGGCTTGGTATAGACATGTCATGACTCCATGGCCCTGCAGTTTGTGGCACAATAGTTCCGTTAGCTTGGATGTGAACTTTCAGGCTGTATCGGCTTTACTTAGGGAAAACAAACAAGGATTTGGAATAGATCCCATCATTCTTAACGATATCAGAACCTAGATATAAAAATGACATAAATTAACATCAAACAGAAATTGTTGTATTTATGATGCTTTTAGATTAATTTAGCTAGAAAATAACAGGAAAATAAATCTTTGATACGGTGAGGCGCTGAAATGGGTTGCCCAAGGAAGTGGTGAACGCTTCATTCCTGGCAGCATTCAAGGCCAGGTTGGATGGAGCCTTGGGCATTATGGTCTAGTGCGAGACGTCCCTGCCAATTGCAGGCGAGTTGGAACTGGGTGATCTTAAGATCCTTTCCAACCGTAACCATTCTATGATTCTATGATATGCAACCTGTGCAATTCCTGGTTCTGATGGTATGTTAAAACTGTTAGAGATGACTGCAGTCTGAAGTAAGATGTCTTTTGGTACTGTGTTTTACTTCAAGGAAATGCAAATTTCTTAACAAAATCACCTGTTATTTCATTAGAAGCTAAAGAACAGAAGATTTTCAAAATCAGACCAGTTTTTAATTACTTATTTGCTTCTATAGTCACATATTCGATTCTGTTGTGACTGAGTTCTGATTATGCTTGTTTCAGAATTCAGCCACCTATAATGATAAGCAAATAGACAAAAATCAGAAGTAAGCAACAGAAGAGTAACAAATAAAAGCAGTAGTGAAAATAAACCTTCACTGCTGATTTAGGCAGTTGAAACATCAGCTGATGGTAAAATTAATTTTATGTTAATAACAGTTGGTTTACTTACATAAAGACTGAAATAAATGTTACATGTCAAAAAGCAGGATAAAGCAAATTTTGTAAGAGAATATTTTATTGAAGGAAATCTGTTTTTACATGTTTATACATACAGATTATCAACTTTGCATGTACTTTATTGATGATTCTGCAGTTTGATTTCATTCAGGAATAAATGCAAAGCCTTCCTCAAAAAGCCATGTTGGCCTATTAACAACGCAGTGTCCTTCAAAGCAGGAATTTTTTTTCACAGGTGTAGGTGCCAGGAAGATGAGAGGAACACCTGAGGATAAAACAGAATATATTTCCACTTTAAAACCCTATCTGATAACCAGAAGCACCAAACCCCAAACCTGCCCATAAGCATGAAGGATGCCCAAGTGGAGCTGGCGTGGGGTGCAGAAGCCTGCAGCCCCATGCATAGGAGGGCAAAGTGGGTACCTGCCAGGCTCCCTTCTTCCCAGCTGGCTCTGCCCCAAGAGCAGCCTCCCACTGCTTCCTCAGTGATGCCCAGCTTCTTCCTGGTTTCCCAGTGTGGGATGAGTCAGGGTCTTTCTGGCCTGTCTCCCTCTGCCAGAAAGTAGCTGCCAAAATCCTGAGAGATGGAGACCACCAGTGCCCCAGTGGGGCTCACCTCTGCAAAGGCAAGGCCAGGCTTGTGCTAACCATAGGCAAGTGAGGTCAGCCCTCCCTCCACGGAAAAGCAGGAGATTTTTGGTATAGGGACTGCTGCTCCCACAGAGAGTATCCAGGATTGGGGAACCCATAGGCTACTGGGACTTGAGCAGAGGTCTAAGAGCATCTTCCCTGAGCAGCACCCTGAACAACCAGCTGGGGATGGGATCCCTGCTGTTACACAGGGAGAATGGCTTGATGTTGTTATGGCGTGTTACATCCACCCAGGCATCCGCTCACAGTTCCAGCTGGCCACATAAAGGACTTCTAATGAACTTCCCATTTTCCTGTAGGTATCGTTTGTGTCCGACTAACTGCAGCCAGCTATCCGCTCCACCCATGCACAAAGGGTCTCTGCCTCCACTCCCTGCAAGGCAGAACTTCCAGGGCTAATCGTTAATGGCCTGTCAGTGATGAGAGACAGAATCTGGCCAGATAAAGAATCATGCCTCCCCAAAATCTGTCAAAAGTTGAAGTTATATGTTTGAGTGTGCCTCTTTTTCTTGGAAAGGAATTTCTGTAAGTAAACTATATTAATACAAATTAAGCTATCTTAATCTTGCAAATACAATGTGCTCTCCATTGTTCCTACCCTTTTGCTTGGAACTCCACTTTGCAATGCGTCCTCTTGCTCTTTCTTCCATCCTTAAGGTCTCTATCACATAGACCAAGTCTTGAACACACTCCTGTAGTACCTGTCCCAGTTCTGGGATCTTGACAGGCTCTCTGGTCATTTTACAGTGTAGCAAAGGGGCTGTAGCAATTTAGGAACTGGAGCAAGCAGTTTTGCAGGAGATGCGCATCCTAAGGGAAGGGGAACAAACAGGGTTCAGGTTCATCCACTGAGTTGCTCTCAGAAGTCTAAATTGAGCAATGAATGCAAGTGGATTTAAGGACTGCTTAGTAAAAGAGAAATGTATTAAAGATAGTTTTGCCTCCTCTGAAGATCTAAAGTCTTCTGCAAACAACTGAATGCCTGAGCTGGAAGCGATTCACTTGGAAATGAGGAGTGGCACCAGTGCAGTTGGATTTATGGTGAATAATTGGCACTGGGAACTCTGATCCGGGAAGGTCAATACATATAATAAGGAAAGTTCTGCATCACCTTAGCTGCTAGAACTTGCATTTGGGGTAAGGTGTTTCCAGACATCCTTGGCTAAAACCTAAGAATACCAACACTGAATCATCAGTCTCCATATGAAGGACACCCAGACTTTCTGCCATGTAAAATTCCTTGCTATTAGTAGGGCCTCCCTGCTGCTTCTTTGTATCTTGGAACTGACTTACATTTCATCCATGCCTTAAGTGGGTGCAGAAACACTTGCTGCTGCTCTTTGACCAGCAAAGATGATCTACTGCTCGAGTCTGTGCAAAGAGATAAGGCTCCTGGAGTAAGTGACTATGGGGAACTCCACAGCACTACAGCATCATAACTCCAAGTGGCAGCTCAGCCCAGTACCCGCTACCTTGATGCGCTATAGAGTGAAGGACTTCAGTGTCTCCCTGCTTGAGAAGTGGCACGCTGCGAGGTGGAGCGGGAGATACTGAGAAACAGGCCAAGTAGCAAAACCCACCATACCTATTTTACAAGAGTGTATGGGAAGAAATGTCACTGCTCCACCTCTGCGAGATACATATTTCTGTGTAAGGCAGTGCGTGTCTAAGGACTGCCAAGGGAAAGAAATTCTGGTCAGTATCGTGTGCATGAAAGGATGGGGAAGGAATAGCACATAAACAGGGTCACAACAAATCTGCTGCTTTTGTGAGACTTTTGTGCTATCAGGCTATTGCTAAAATTAAACAATGACCAAAGAAAGGCATTGGAGTCTTGAATTTCTGACACAGAAACTAAACGTTCCTTTAGAGCAGATACAGTCATGAGCCATGCCAAACACTCGGCAGAGCTCCTGTGGTATCTAAATAAGCCTCTCTCCAGCACTCCTCTTTTGTTAAGGCTTGCAATCTTGTTATCGTGGAACTGTGTCCTATTTCCTTTAATTATTTTCCACTCTGTGGATTGTGCCACTGTCATTAAAACGTGCTTTTGGGGACTGAAACTTGTAATTCGTTCTCTGTTTACAAGATACAGAGTGCAATGCTAATTATCATGCAAATTAGCCTCACCAATAGGTAGTGGTTGCTTTATTATATAAGCAATCATCACATTTTTAGACAATTGCAACAATTTGTTGCTTTCTTTTTAAATTAAGGCACTCATATAGCAAGTTCTGAGAAGCTGAAATGAAGACTTGTATCTGAGCTGACTACGAGAGACCAAAGCCACAGCTCACAAACTGCGGTGCTAAAGCAAAGGTCTAGCTGAGGTGGTTAGCTCACTATTCGTCTCTCCTATAGAGAGCAAAAGATTAGGCACATGAAAAGACAACATACCCCTTGTCATTCGGGTACAAACAGGTACTCCAGCATGGATAACGGAGTGATTTCATCGCTACTAGGAAAAGAAAAGATTGAGATTTAGCCTTTGATTTTTATTACTGTGCACACATCATAGATTCATAGAGCCACAGAGTGGTTTGGGTTGGAAGGGACCTTAAAGCTCATCCAGCTCCAACTCCTGCCATTGGCAGGGACACCTTCCACTAGAGCAGGTTGGTCCAAGCCCCTGCGTCCAACCCAGCCTTGAGCACCAGAAGGGATGGGGCAGCCACAGCTTCTCTGGGCACCCTGTGCCAGCGCCTCAGCACCCTCACAGGGAAGAGCTTCTGCCTAAGAGCTCACCTCAATCTCCCCTCTGGCAGGTTAAAGCCATTCCCCCTTGTTCTGTCCCTACAGACCCTTGTCAAGAGCCCACCTGCCTGCGCTGCCCTGGTGTCACCAGGCCCCGAGCGGGCCCGCCCCGTGGGGACGGCGCCACCGCCTCTTCCCGCCTGCCGCGACTGGAGCGGGCTGCGGCAACGGCCGGTTGCTAGGCCACGGCTCATGGCGGTCTCAGCTGCATGATCAGTGTGTGCTGCACACACAAGGTCTCAGCTGCATCATCAGAGACTCCCCGGCCGCCCAGCGCTGTTTTGCTTGCTGTCGCTTGCTCAATAAACCAATTTGATTCATTGGCCTGGCTCTAGTCAGTTTATTTGAGCCACTATTTATAACACTGACGGTGCTCACGCTCATTCCCCCAAGGGGATCCGGCAGCCGCGGAAGACCCGGTGCCACCGAGCACCCGCACCGCAGACCCACCTGTGAACGCCGTGGCTGCTCCGGGTGCTCTCGTCGCCGACCTCCTCGGTGTCATAAATTGAGACCACAACGGATCATAATCCAATTAAAATTTTATTAATTATAGCAAGTAGAATATGAGCAAAAGCAGCGCTGGACGACAGGGGAGTCTGCGCTCCGCCAACTGCCGTGAAGAACAGTTCAAACAGCCCCTTTTTATACATCTTTACTTCCATGTTCATGAAGTAGTGGAGGTACTCTGCGCATGCTTCACATAGTTGACCTTTTACTCATATGTCCTTTTATGGAGTTGTTATCTCACTTTCTTCCATTTCCTGGAGCATCTTGCAGTTATCTTCAGTTTGCACAATCGGTATCTGGTTTAGTTGTGTAAGCGATTGCGGTTATCTTATCTTGCTTAAGCTGTGTCTGGTGGCTGTTTGCATAAGTGATTTCATATCTTTTGTTGCCTAACCTTTACATTGGGCTTAGCATAAATCTTAATAAACAATACCCTAGTCTATAGTTTAGCACAATCCCCCCTTTTTCTTTTTATCCTATTATTGTTTATTAGACGCTGCTTTCATTCTCGGCACTGTAAGCAAACCTTTTTCCACAATCCCAACATTTACCATAACACTCACAAGGCAATACCTCACAATTACAATAGGCATAGCTTTCACGTGGCATAACGCATTCACAATAATCTTCATCCTCATTAATAGATACACTCTTATATTTTGCCCCAGACCTTGTAGTTAAAATAAGCAGTTTAGCTATGTCAAACCGTTCTCCAATAAAGTGTAAAATATAGCGCAATATACAAGGCCCAAATATAAGTCCCAGAATCAACATAATAAGCGGTCCTGCTAAAGCAGACAACAAAGTGGTTAGCCAAGGTGAAACATTAAACCAGTTTTCATACCATGACCTGCCCGCCTCACGATCTTTCTTACGTTGATCTAACCTTTTCCGGAGTTGTAATATTTTGAGTGGCATGTGTTTCCTGTAAGTTATATATTTTCCATACCATAGGTTCATGAGGGTTTCCATTTGCTTGGGTTATTATCAATAACAAAACTAACGGTATACCAGGAAAAGGGTGTCTGTCAATTTTGCCAATTTAAGTATATTTTTACCAGTCCTGGGGAAGTTCGGCCATTGCTGCCTTTGCGCCCCATTGTTCTGGGTCGTTTCTCCACATTTTGTTCCTCCTCTGCCTCGCCCGTCGACTCGGTTGCTTCGAGCCACGGGGTGTACCATCTTCTCGGCAGCAAGGGAATTCTTCAGGAGAACAGTTGTTTTGGGCTTTCTGCCTGTTTACATAGGCTTCCCACTTTGCAGCTTTAACTAATGGGGCAAAGCAAGACACGGTTAGTACTTCCCTTCTACACTTTATAACCAAAATTTCAGCTACACAGGGGACTGGTTCGTTGGAGTGGTAACAATAATATTGAGGGTTTTATTCCTTTGGCAAAAATTTCCCACCACTCATGGGATTCCCGAATAATTTCTTGTTTAGACTCTAATTGTTTTAATTTCCACTCAGTGAGAGTTCTTTGGATTTTCCAACACTGTGTGCAAACTCCTACTGGAGGATAGCCACATTCACAGTGTGTCCACCATTTATCCTGGCACACCTTACACCTGAAACAAGCAAATGGATAACAATTGCAGTTCAATTTATTACACCTAATTCGTATATCTAGAGTGCATATATTATTTACATCAGCATATCGTCTATATTCAATATTGTGTGGTTGCATAAGTTTAGCAATTTCCTTCAACACACTTTGTACGCTTCCATATATAATAGAAAAAAAAAAAAAATTATAGCAAATATAAACAGCAATACACACTTTATGCCAAAAGGTAATGCGGCAAAATAATCAAATAAAGTCTTTATCATTACGTTATATTTTCAGGGTTATCTTGGTGTCACCTGGGGTACTGATTACTTTCCAGTGAGGTCTCGTCACTGGGCCTTTAATGCGACTGGCATGAGTCCATCCACGCTCAGCAGTCCGGACAGCTGTTTCTGTTGTAAGCAAAACAAGATAAGGTCCCTCCCAATTGGGTTTTAGGGTTTCTTCCTTCCACACTTTAATCAATATCCAATCCCCAGGTTTAACATTGTGAATTTTAAGTCCAACGGGGGTCATTGCACAATCAGTCCATGTTCCCAAAGCTTGTTACGATGTTCTGCTAATTGTGAAACATATTCGTTAATCACACGGTCTCGAATTAAAACATTTGTTTGTGGACTTTCAATTCTATAAGACATTCCATACACCATTTCAAACGCTGATATTCCTACATCTGCTCGGGGTCTGGTTCTGAGAATTAATAGTGCCATGGGTAGGCACTTAATCCATGATAATTTGGTTTCTATCATTAATTTAGTCAAAATAGTTTTGATTTCTCCATTCATCCTTTCAACTTTTCCCGAACTTTGCGGATGCCATGGTGTATGGTATTCCCACTTAATACCCAAGTTTTCTGTTAGATCTTTAATAATGTTTGACACAAAGTGTGTTCCCCTGTCCGAGTCGATTACTTCAGGTACTCCATATCGAGGTATAATGTGTTCAAGTAACAGTAAATCAAGAAAGAAAATAAGATATAAACGGATTTCAAGCATAAAATGTATACATAATTATTAGGGCAAAATACAAATGATTTTATTATGATTCATATTTTTAATTTTCTGTAACAAAAATATTTGGAATAATACCTTTCTAGTGAAATGTTTTAAAATAATCCCAGATTAAGTATTTCTCAGTAAATATTACTGATCAGGAATATGTGTGACAATATTCAAGATCTGACTAATTCTCTTTTACTGACACTAAATCACTATATCTCATAGCAGTGATACTACTAAGTGTCAGACTTAGAAATTTACTGCCTTAAAAGGACTGCATCTGGCAGTGGAGTCAGACGGAAAGGCCAACTGCAAACTCCTGCTTTCACAAACCCAATGAAAAAGCTGCTATTCATATTTCTTGAGATAAAATCAAATATTAAACACTTGTACATGCAAACACAGGCACTTCAGCATAACAAAATTTCTTACAAAAATGCTTACCTTCAAAAACCATTAAAAGAAATCAAAGATTTCCCTCCAATTATTAGAGTAGAAAGACTTGACCATTCCCAGAGTAAAAAAAAAATAAATAATCTTATTATCACAGACTACAGTCTTTCAAGATAAAATACAGACATTAAAATGTAAATAAAACTTTAATTAATTTCCTTTTTTTTTTAAATACAAATTATCAACTTTGTATTAAATTATCAAAAAGCAAAAGTAAGGTTATTAATTTTCAAACCATATCTGAATGAGTAAAATTGGAGATGAGGAAGTATCTTCGCCAGTTTGGAATCCAGCATCCATACAACACACAAGCCATACTAAAAGCAATTATTACATTTTACTTTTTTAAGAGTAGATATCAATTGGAATAAAAATGCTAGATTACCCAGATAAAAATTTAATCATAAAAAAAATGAAATTATTTATCTTCATCAAAACATTTAATTTAGAAAAACTATTTCCTATTCATAGGCCAAATTATTTATATACAATATAGTGTATATATTACATAATTAAGTTCCAGGTTGTTTTTTTTGTTTGTTTGTTTTTTTTTCATAGGCTTCCACAGAATGCTTAAATATTCTGGATTTACCCCAGAGTACCAGGGCTTTCCTCAGTTGTTCCAGCCACTCAGTAGGGCTTTCATCTTTCTTTTGCATTCCATTAAATGCTTTATTGATATTCTGGCCACGGGGTACTGCTTCTCTAATTCCCTGAATTACTATAGTTCTCAGGTCCTGCATATGAGTTCTATGCACCGGATCCTGATTATCCCAATTAGGTCTTTGGAGTGGCCATTTAATATCTGCCTGAGGTCCCTGGTCATGTTGAGCATCCCACAGTCTCATTCCTGCTCATCTAATCATATCTCTTTCCTCGGTAGTAAATAATTGACCAAGGATAGATTGCATCTCATCCCAAGTATAAAGGTTAGGTCCCAAAAATTGATCTAATCTTTCTGCTACTCCAAGTGGGTCCTCTATTAAGTTTCCCATCTTGGTTCTTTTAAAATCTCGTAGGTCAGCCGAGTTTAAGGGTACGGAAATATATCCGATCACAGGTTGAGGTCCCCCCATGGGTATTTCCCTTAGGGGGTACATCTGAGCTGCCCCTTTTTGACTTCTAGTTACGCGTCTAGGAGGAGGGGGAGACCCTTGTTCCGATCCTGGTGGGGGAGTGGGCGCTCTGGGGACCTCTGGAGGGGTTGCAGGAACAGGAGGAGGAATGTAAGGAGAGGGGGTTAGAAGGGTTTCGTCTAACTCTTCCTTCTTTTTCTTTTGTTTAGTTTTTTATTTCATTCAGCGGATAAAGTCTAGCTCCCGGTCTTTCTAGCCACACTTCTGCATATTGACTCTCCTCCGGGTTAAGGAGTTTTTTATTATTAACTCAGAGGTTTAATTGCTGTCTTACCCAATCTTCTTCTGACCCATAGACTGGCCAAAAGACATTTTTAGAAATCTTCTTCCCTCCCCATATCTTAGTACAATATTCTCCAATTGTCTAAGATATATGCCAGAGGGGTATTCTTAGGTACAGTGGGTACCCTTCCCATGGGAGTCGAAGGCTTGCTGCCCTTCGTCCCCATCTTCTGGAATATCTACAAACATCCACTCACTCGCTCCCCTTGTTCCTGGCCCAG